TAGCTTTTTCATCCTCCGGTGAACATGTGGTTACTGTGCCATCAGTCGTTCGCTTACGAAGTGTGTGATGACTCTCACCACATGCGGACTGTCGATCTCTCAACTTAAGCGGACTCACTTCTTGTGCATGCGTTGTTCCGTCCGTATAATCCACTCCCGGACCTAGCTTCACAACTCCTGCTCGAGTTTCCACAATCCACCTCCTCTGTCGTTTATTGGCTTCATGCACCGCTTCTCCGAATCGCATGGGTTCGAACTTGGGCCTGTAGTACTCCATATCTTCGACATTTCCTTTCCTTTACTCTCCAGTGCACAGCACATGGTGTGCTGGCGCAATGTTGGGCGGTTTACCGAATGCTGAGACCACTCTTTCTGTATAGTACACCTCTAACCGCGCCAGCTGAAACGTTATCCGTGGCAGTATGAGACCGCCCTGTTTGTTTTGTGTTGCACACACTCCCAGTTTTATCAAATGTCCTCACTAGTCGAAGCACGTACCGGTCGGTAACTGGCCTCCTTTCGCTGTGGATAGTGTTGTAGCGTCACGCAGTTTCTACCGCGTTGGATACGCGCTCACCATAGAGCAGCCGAAGGATCACGCGCCGATATACAGGTACGTTACTTGACTGCGGTTGCAGATAACTCGATGAGACAGCAAACCGATAACCATATGACAGTGATCACTCTGGCTTGATTATTAACCTGGCTGAGCGCCGACGGTTTGGTATGTCTGCCCATCCATTGTAGTAATACCAAATCGAGGCTGCGACCGTGCTGACCATGTATTCCTCAATCAGTGCAAAATGCTGACGGTTTGGTCTGTCTTCCCATTCATCGTAACAAGACCAGTAGCGGGACTGTGGTCGGGAGACTTTTCAACCGACCTGAACGCAGCACTGAATCCCCGCAATATCCGCTACCACCGGAGAATCTTTTCGTTAGACACAACGGCAGTCACATTTTTTCAAAGGTTCATCTCTCGAATGCCTACCTTCAAGTGGTAATCGATTATGACGCACGACACCTTACACTTAACACACCGTGGCCTGTATCAGTACAGACGGCTACCGTTCGGAGTAAACGCTGCTTCGGGTCTCAACAGCTGGTAGATACCATGCTGGCCGACATACCATTGGCTTGTACATACCTGGTCGATATTATCGCTGCATCATCAGACAGAAGCCAGCATAGCTGCCACCACTTGTAGGTATTCAAACAACTACGGGAATTTGTTTTGACTCTGAGAGCTGATACATGCTAGTTGTTCATGCCTCAACTGAAATACATTGTCGATCGTGACGGACGAAGGCCTGATATTGAAAAATTGCGCCACATGACATACTTACTATGTAATCCTTCATGGGTTTGGGGAATTATTGCAGTGCATTTATACCTGATGTACATCGACTTCGCGGACCAACGAATGAGTTACTGGGTAAAAGTCGTCCCTGGTTTTGGTCATCCCAATGGGGCGAAGCGTTTAGGCTCATTAAGAAAGCTCTTATAGCTCACTTAATGCTGACACATTGTGACCCAAAGCAGATAGCATTGTCTCCACAGGTCCCTTTATTTGGGGTGTTGGAGCGATTCTCCGTCAGCTATTCGCTTCTAGCACCATAAGATCGATTGCCTACGGATCACGTGCTTTGGCAATGTCTGGAAGAAACTACTCATAGCTCGAGAAAGATGCACTAGTTTTATCTCTTTCTGTCAGCAAGTTTAATCGGATATTGCAGGGTAGAGAATTCGTATTGGAGACTGACCATAAACCATTATTAGTCATCTTCGCTTCAAAGAAGGGTATAACACCGTGTATATGGCGAGTTGTTTCCGCTGTTGGGGTGCACTATTCCTCAGATCTAACTTTACGATAGCTCATGTACCTAGTGTAGATTTCAGCTACGCCGATGCACTGTCTCGACTTGTCGCAGAACAGCCGAGAATAGAAGAAAACCAAGTGATCGCGCCAGTTGCGCTTGAATTGGACGTGAAACAGCTGTGGACATTCAGCAGCACACTAAACCCGACCATCTTTTGCAAAACTTTATTCGCTTTATAAACTCAGTGACTAACTCGGATTACTGACACACTTTCACCAATTTTATTTTGGTGTGACTCGTTGGCACTAGTGGGTGATTGTGTTGTGTTCGGTGTACTCGTGGTTGCTTCTGAGTCCCTGCAGGCAAGGTTGTTAAGATATTTGCACCTGCATAACCCTGGAATATCACGGATGAATGCTCTAACCAGGAGTTACGTATACTGGCCCTACATTGACAGTGATGTCCACGATTTTGTCGCCACATGTAGGAATTGTGCCTTAGCAGCGAAACTTTCCAGCAAAATCATCCAACCTTCGATGCCAACTTCCAAGCCTTGAATTATAACTCACGTTGATTTCACTGGTCTAGTGCAATGCCCGTGTTTTTTAATTGCAGTTGATGCGTACACCAAGTGACTGGACGTATACCTGAAGGACAACCACGACAGCGGCAAGAGTACGAAAACTACAACGGCTATTTGCATAATTTCGGTTCACCAATCAATGTGGTTTCCGATAACGGTTCATAATTTGTCTTCGATGAATTTGGTGTTTTCTGTCAACGTATTGGCATGAAGCACTGTCGGTCGCCCCTGGGGCATAACAAGACCAACGCGCAAGCAAACAAAATTCGTAGCTGCCTTCAAGCGTTCACTTCTAAAACTGCGGGCCGTAGGACCGACGGAGGTCATGCGGCTGTTCTTGTTTTGTTATCGGGCTACGCCTAACCCCGCTGCACCAGTCGGCAGGTCCTCAGCGGAAGCCATGTTCGGGCGTGAACTACGTCTACTAATTGATGCAATACGCCCGAATTTTACGAAACGGCCACTCGCGTCAGGCGCTAGTAGGTGTTTTCTTCCGGGGAGCCGGTGTACGCACTGGACACTAGACCGAACCACCAAACCTGGCAACCTACAGTGGTACGAAGCAGGAAAGGCAATGTGTTCTACGAGGTGTCTGTCGGATCGCTTTCTTTCGTTCGGCACATTAATCAGTTACTCAGAATACAGAGGGAACAACAATCACTTCCACTTCCTAGTTCGGTTTGAACTACCAAAAATTGTGTAGCTCCGTAAATCGACGGAAACGCTTACAAAGCCATGCCACAGAGTCAGTCGGAGATCCATGCAGGCTGTTCAACCGATCCAACTTTTACAGTTGAAACCAGCACTTCATTCCTACGGGTATGGAGAACAACGTGTTTTCACAGGGGGAGATGTAACGCTAGGTGATCTAGTGCCATGTGCATGAGGCCACCATTCATGTTCGACAGACCGTCTGACATCCTCTCATCTTACCCTATGTTGTTGGCTGTCTCGCCTGTTTCATGTGACTTAACATTTGATCAATACAGTGTGCGATGCGGCGATGTCTTTGTTCTGACGGCTGTACGCTCCATCAACTACGAGTATAACACCTAGTGTCTAATCTCTTACCACAGGTGGGATTGCCAGTTGCAGCTTAGTAACATTTTCCCCTCTCTGGCCCCTCTGTTGGATTTAATCCGCTCACATTAGTCAGATCGTTGCCCACCTCGAGGCGTACTGTTTGTCAACGTAGCGCTTATGTAAGTGGAGCCAAGATATCAAGCCGCGTCAGTGTGTGTACCGTCTTCGGTGTCACATGTTAGAAATTGCCTCATTCCGAATTGGGTAACATTGTTAACCTCACCACCCTGTGATATCGCTATTCTAACGGCTTTTTTCCACTGTTTTGTTAACGGTTTTTAGTTATTTTCTGTTTACTTCCTCTTACCTTTTGGCCATTGTTTCCTTGACGGCGCATCTGAACGCAACTCGGGCAAATTGTAGTTGCTTAACTCGCCTCCCCACGCGCTCAGCAGGATTATGTTGCAGAAAAATCATGATATATGTGCATTGTGTCCGTCGAATTCTCCTATCCATAAATTGCAAAGGTCGTAGCGCTAGCTCCAAATGCATGCGAAAATGGGCCCTCACTTCACTTTCACCGGAGTTGTCTTAGTATTATTTATAGACGTTTCGACTGTGCATTTGTTGGGTAGTTTGAAAATGTTCTTGTTTTTTGAGAATGTCAGCGTATATGGACACAGTACGGCGGCCATCATACATCTTTATCCCATTTCTAAGAACACTTTTTAGTGTTACTTAAGCATTGAATTTCTTAAGACAAACTTGGTTTGGGTCAAAATGACTTCAAAATAATAAGGCCTAGTATCTTTTTTGAAAGTTCAATCAAAAATTATTTAATTGCTTTAATTTAATGCCCGGCATCACATTCTAAAAAGTGTGCTTGAAAACGGGTTGAAAGCGCTAGGCCTGCTTCTCAGCCTATTGGGACTCGTCCGTAGCGCGCATCCACCAGATCCTACTACATTCAAACCCACAGCCTTATCCCTAAAAGTCTGCGACTTAAGCCACTGAGCCATGGGTGCCTCTGGTGGTCCGCCATATTTCGTTCTCAGTTGCGATATAGCTGGGCTTATTCTTCGTTGCCATGCCCTTTACTACTATGCAAAGGGCGGAGCTGACCTCCAGATGCACAACTTCTCCCGTTACTTCGTCAGTTATCACATGATATCCATTGTGTTGTCTTACTTGGGCACTTTGGAGAGCACTCGTTCGATCTGCGAATCACCAGTTCAATATAAACGATTATTTATACTTGTTCCTGATTTAAACACAAACTGACAGTTTCACAGGTGCATGTTCTTAATCAATGTCCAACACAATTGGCTGGCTATCATCCAGATACGTACGACCGTATTCGTTGAGGTCAACCAGGACACCTTTACATCCCTATCATTTTCACGAAACCGGTTTCTTTGACTCAGCTGCCTTCCTCAATTAGCAGCCTAACACTACTATTCATTTAGCGCATCACCAGTATTTTCGTGGGACAATTGATTTGTTTCCGTTGAGGCTCACCCCATCTCTTTGCTCCATCAACTCTGTCGAATAACATGTTTATGACTTCTCTTCAGATCTGTTTTTCGGATTGCCGTGTGTGAATCATGGGGACGTAGAACAGAAATTGCTGGAAGAAAGACTTCGTTTTATTACATGCGAACTTTCTGTCAAAGTGAGTTTCTTAACCTGTCATCGATTTTTCATTTGATAAATCCCTCCTTCATATGATTTTCTATGCCATGCTACGCATCCAAGCTGGTGAGTGACATCATATGTGACTAGCGAGTGTAGTAATAGGAAATTTCACTCAATCTCACGTTAGTCTATGGTTAAATTGAAATTGAAATTGTTTCTAGTGTCACATCGAAGTTCACCACTCTGACACTACACACATAACCTAGTTTGTTGGATTGTTTACCTGTATCTATCACCTTCATACTCTTACCGTCCTTAAACTTCACCCCCTGTCAGATCGTGCCTCTTCATGAGGCTGCCTCAGTTAGTTTTGGTTATCCTTACAGCCGGTCGACAGAGTCATTCCTTTCTACAATCGAATACATTTCACAGATTCAGGTGAACAACTATGATCCGAGCACCGAGGTGCGGTGGATCCAGTTGCCACGACTCACATTGCAAGAATAACGATAAATAGAAACATGAAGATGGCAGGGTTAAAGGCAAATAGAATGTAAAGCAAATGGAAGCAAGAAGGAAATGCGTTAAACTAATCAGAATGGAACGAAAATTAACAACCAGATGCAAGAAACTGAATGCAGGAAGGCCACTGACTGCGTGACTGCGCCATGTCGGATAGGGTCTCTAACCATCCCGAGGCCCCCATCCACGAAGACGACACGCATCAGCCTTACCAAGTCTTTCAGTCAGTTTCTTCATGCCTCTGTGTCGTGTCATCGACTGGCCATCTCAGAGTTTCACCCTGCTTGGTGGCGTACAATTTAAGCCCAGGAAGCCGGTCAACGGAGATACAGTGGACACGGTCTAGCCAACGTATGCGATTAAGATTTATTAAACACTCAAGTGAGGAACCAGTAGGCTTCTTGCCAAAACCAACTAGCGGACCTCAGTATTGCTCACCAGGTGTTCCCACCAGACGTGAGCAATACTGTACAAGCAGCGTTGGCCAAACACAGCAAACGTTTAATGTCTGTTCCAGAACAGGAACAGTTCACCGCAGTAACCTTGTTTGGCCTGGACAACCTAATTACCGATCCGGCAGCCATAAAAACTATCGATCATTTGCATGCATCCTGGTCACACTTATAAATAAAACAAATAAGTTTGTATATTTACCGACAAACCATACACGGCCGCATAAGCTGGATCGATCATAGCGGTTGTCTAGCTTAAGTTGCCTAGCTTAACCTGTTTATCTGACAACCGGAATCACTGACGGGAATGTGGCCTGTCTGTTCACAAACCAGGTGCACAGCTTACAATCCGCAGTTAACCTGAATCCCAGCATTCCTATGTCCTCACACCTTAAGGTTAACTTCCGAACTCAAGTCCGCAGTAACCTACTCGCATGTCTTGTCCTGACCTTAGCGGTCTGCTTGCTTAACGTGCGCGCATGTTGACCTGACAAACGGAACCACTGTCCGTCCACACCCCAGTTGTCGTTCGCCGGAAACACAACATTCATATGTTCTGTCCCCTTGGGGTAGGGGGTCTGCACGCATATGCGAATCGTAGGTACAAGAATTCGCCTGTGCGGATACTACGGCTTTCGTCCTCCTATTATTAATAGATCTGTAGTGTAACGTTCAAATTAATGGCGTTGGGTCAACTCATGCATCAGTGCTGTGTCAACTGGAGATTCTGTTGAACCTTATTGGACATGCACCCTTGCCCTTATTAGTTAAAAATTTTGGAAATTCGCGAGGATATTTGTAGCTCGAGATGCGGTTGTGGGTATTAGGGTGTTCTCCGAGCTGGGTAATTTGGCTGCAGACGACATCATCAGTACGATGTATGCAGGCAACTTCCCACATAAATCGCGCTGACAATCGTCTAGCCTGATCTTGAAACGTCTGCGTCCAAATCATCCAATTACATATTTTACCTTGTCCGTGTCGTCGAGAATATTGAACTAGTGCTTTCAGGCTCCCTACTGCGCTCCTAGCTGGACTGCTTTTTTATCAGGCCCGGTCGAATTTCATGAGAATCCTAGGCTATTAGCAACTCAGGTTGCTCTTCCCAGTGATCATTTTCCAATTACCACTCTGCTTGTTACTGCAGCCAACTCCTATGCTGTGTAAGATACCTATGGCATTGACTGATTGCGAACTGTGTTCAGTCTTAGGCTTCGTACTTTCCGGCTCTTGAAGCAATGTTTACGTCCCCATATACAACTTTGACATTTTTGGCAATGGAGCAAGACTTTCGCTAGGTGTGTGACGGGTTCCGTTCGCCACCTCTCTAAAGACGCGAAGCTGTCGTTGAACGTAGTGGACCTGGATTGATTGAACAAAGTGATTTTTTCATGAGGTGGTGCTTCAATTGATGGAGCTCCCTTTGCACACCAAAAATATAGTCACTAACTGATTATCACTGCTAACCGGGATTACAGTATTATTGCTTCATGGTCAAAATCTCGAAGTTTCATACGCGTACAGGCTGCTTAGCTGATGAAATATCAGGCACTGACGTAATTTTTAGCCTTTTTCTGACCAGTATAATTCATCGCAGTGAGCCGGTAGCCCTTAACATCCGGTTTGGAGGTACTAGTCAGCTTGTCTGGACTCCGGTCACGCACTGGTTTGTGCTAAGTTGTGTATGCGTTTCGGAGGATCCTCTAAGCGCACGCACTACCCATCAAGCATAGAAAGTCTACAAGACCCTATGACGTTAGCCAAATACCAGGCCTCTATCATCAATGCTTGCTTAAGCTTCTGACGACGATCTGAATTTACAGTGAATGCGCATCAAAATGCCTTAGTGTCTGCTAGCATTGACAGTTGCGTAGTTACCCGTCACTCGCCCAAAAGCTGTATTACCGCTATCTAGTCACTGATGGACAGACGCCTCTCGGTCCCGGCCGGTGCCAGCTGTAGTGAAGAACGCTGGTCCTTACCTCGACCATGAAATCTGGTGATGTGAACGTGCTAGAATGATGGAACTTGCTAGTCTCCCTCGGAACAACAGAAAACCGTCCCAGCTTATCCGAGTCACCGAAGGTTTCCGATCTGGTGTAAGCGGAACAATCTGCGACGAGGATGGCTCACTAATCACTAGTCTTCAACGACGGTTGGAACTATGGGCTGAACATTTTGTCTCAGTTTTGCTAGCGGCCAGCTTCATCTACTTCTCTTGGAGCGCTAATTGGTGCCGTGTGGCCTATAACTAAGGATTCTCCGTGTCGGCAGGAGATCTGGCATGAACTCTGCCTCTTGCAGTGCTATAAAGCACTCGGTCCTGATGGCTTGCCTTCCGCCCTATTTATATATGATGGCTATTCGCTTGTTGGAGAACTGCTTTATTCTCAGGACTTTGATTAAAAGAGTAGGTTCCATCGTCTTGGGGTGAGTCGATAGTTGTCCCACTTTCTAAACACACCTGCGCACAATGTGATCCAACTACAGGACTATCAGCTTCGTTTCCGTCGTTTGCAAAACCCTGGTGGCCATCGTATTTCGAAGACTATTCCTAACTCGCGAATCACTACAGCGGAAAGAACAGGATGCGTTCCTCCTTGGTGGTGGCTGCATCGATCAAATTTTCACTATCCGCCAAATCCTCGAGCTCCACCGTGTGTACCAAAAGCCGATTTTTGCAGTGTTCTTGGATATTCATGCTGCCTTCGATTCTGTCGACAGGACTGCATTGTGGCAGTCTGCTGAGGAATTACACTCCCGAGAAGTTCATTTCCGTAATGCGTACTATGTGTAGTCTGATTTTAAGTAGTTATGGCCTGTGTCAAGCTTTCCTCTTTCTTTGTTCCCACCAGTGGAGTTAGACAAGGATACCTTGTCTCCCCATTCCTCCTCAATTTTGCCATTGAGGATGTCCTCAAAGATGCTTTGGAAGATTCGTAGAGCGATGTCGTTGAGCTCCTCCTAGGTATTCGGGTTGTTGACTTGGACTACGCTGATGATATCGTCTTGCTGGGTGGCAGTCCACGGCCCGTTCAGATTGCACTTAACCGCTCGACGATTGAAACCTCAAAGTGTGGGATGCACTTTTCCCCATCCAGGCGCAAAGGTCTTTTTCAAGACTGGAAGATGCTTGGGCCTGAACTCACTCTTAGTGGTGAGACATCGGATGTGGTGGAGAGTTTTGCATGTTTGGGGAACTTCATCACTGCTAGTGGGACTATTTTAGACAAGCTTTCTCTGCATATCTCAAGAGCTCGTTTCACTTCCTCTACGCTGAAGGACTTATGGCGCCGACATGATATCCGTCACTCCACCAAAGCGCAGGTTTATTGTGTGGCTGCTTTCGCTGTACTGTTGTACAACTGTGAGACCTGGCCTGTCCATACCGCTAACCTGTGCCGGCAGTCTGTCTGTTTGTCTTCGTACAGTTACTTGCGGTCCATTACCCGTGAATGCTGGCTGCACCACGGAACCAACCTAAGAATTTGACAGGTTTTCTTGGGTGGAGGCAGGCAATCGCTAGAAGCGCTCGTCTCGCTGCGTCAGCTGCACTTTCTTGGACACGTATTGCGCATAACCGTTCAGCGTCTTTCATCTTTTGTCTGATCACGTTTGCTGGACAGAACGCGATGATGCGGCATGGTGGACAGCTTGTGACTTAGAGAAGCTGGATGAAAAACCGGCAAAACAGTTACGCTCGGTCGGTTCTTCTGGACTCCCTTGGTTGGTCCCAGAGATGCGGAGTGTCGCCTGTTGGAGATCCTGGAAGCCCTGGCTCCTGACCGACGTCAATAGCGGACATATATTTGCGCGTTGCGATGATTTCCTTTCTCTTTCCTAATAAAACGATAACAAACTCAAAAGCTGCGAGTGAAAAACTTGGCAAATAGGATGCATGCTTTCTTTTTCATCCTATCCTGTTTTCTTATTTCGCCATGATATTTCACCATGATTCCCACGACACAGTATCTAATATATATATATATATATATATATATATATATATGTATATATAAATATATATATATATATGCTGAGGCTGATGTTGCATTCATGCTGC